CTTGGTTGGACCTGACCATACATGAACACACCAATGGTGACAGAAACCGCAAAAAGCTCCGAACTAAGATGGTTACCAGGATGGACCAGAGGAGACGCAGCGGTTCAATAACCGCAATATCATTCAGAATATGGTTGATGTTCATTCTTTTTGCCACCAGTGAACGGCTTTGCCTGAAACGCGTTGGGAAGTGGAGAACGATGCCACCAGAGGCCACAAACAAGGATCCATTTTTTTAGGTCAGAAATGGCAGCTCCTCATATTGGTCTCTGTACCGTTTCTCTGGAATTCTTTCAGCAAGAGGAAAGAGACGACATCACTTACTCCACGTTCTGCTATTCCCATCACAGCGCCATTAATAATCTGCATTTCTGACACGGCGCGGGTCTAAGTGCCAAGATGGCTCCTTGGAGACAAATCTGAACTAATTGTGAGCCTTGCAGCTTGCGGCGAGGGAATTGAGCGCGGCGGTTCCGTCCCGCTGTCTCTCATCTCATACAACACTACAGAATAATGTTTTTCCGAACTAAAATCATATTTTCGGCACAAGTCTGGGGCTTCCAGCATCCGCCCGGCCATTTAACTCGTGTGACATTTATCCGCAGAGCGCTGACCCTGAAGGAGCCGTTGATAAAAGGGTCACCCGGTGACCTCTGCCACGCCCTCTGACACACCGAGGATAACGAAAGAGGTTTTATTCTGGAAATGATCCCCACAATGAGAGGACCTCTGAACCCGGAATCCGGGGAGGTTCTCACTCATCTGACCAGAGTACTATTAAACGTTGGATCAGGGGCATTCCTAGGGTTGGTGTCACTCGGTATGGTAACACTTGGTGTCACCCCTCTGAAGATCCCCACAGGATGGATCGGATCTGCGGATTGAGCATAATGGATTGGAGTCCGATCTATTATGCTCCCCAATCTGCAGATCTGATCCATCTTGTGAGGATTGTCGGCTTGCAACCTATATGGGGTTAACTGATCTTTCCACATCAGTCTGGTCTGCACATGCTGGAGAAGTGATGTCAGATGGAGGAGGTTCCTGCTATCGCAGACGCATTTCCTGGTTACAGAGAAGTCCCGGATCTTGCCCAGCCTTACTGTAACAGAACCAACCCAGACAGCGATTGGGTACTTGTTAGATTCCCGCTTCCCCGTCCGAACACCGACCACTGACACCACCGCCGACCATACAAGACTAGACGACACCAATCTGTCCGAACACCGACCGCTGACACCACAGAGACCATACAGGACTAGACGACACCAATCTGTCCGAACACCGACCACTGACACCACCGCTGACCATACAGGACTAGACGACACCAATCTGTCCGAACACCGACCACAGAGACCATACAAAACTAGACGACACCAATCTGTCCGAACACCAACCACTGACACCACCACTGACCATACAGGACTAGACGACACCAATCTGTCCGAACACCGACCACTGACACCACCGCTGACCATACAGGACTAGACGACACCAATCTGTCCGAACACCGACCACTGACACCACAGAGACCATACAGGACTAGACGACACCAATCTGTCCGAACACCGACCACTGACACCACAGAGACCATACAGGACTAGACGACACCAATCTGTCCGAACACCGACCACTGACACCACAGAGACCATACAAGACTAGACACCAATCTGTCCGAACACCGACCACTGACACCACAGAGACCATACAAAACTAGACGACACCAATCTGTCCGAACACCGACACCACCGCTGACCATACAAGACTAGACGACACCAATCTGTCCGAACACCGACCACTGACACCACCGCTGACCATACAGGACTAGACGACACCAATCTGTCCGAACACCGACCACTGACACCACCGCTGACCATACAGGACTAGACGACACCAATCTGTCCGAACACCGACCGCTGACACCACAGAGACCATACAGGACTAGACGACACCAATCTGTCCGAACACCGACCACTGACACCACCGCTGACCATACAGGACTAGACGACACCAATCTGTCCGAACACCGACCACAGAGACCATACAAGACTAGACGACACCAATCTGTCCGAACACCGACCACTGACACCACCGCTGACCATACAGGACTAGACGACACCAATCTGTCCGAACACCGACCACTGACACCACCGCTGACCATACAGGACTAGACGACACCAATCTGTCCGAACACCGACCACTGACACCACAGAGACCATACAGGACTAGACGACACCAATCTGTCCGAACACCGACCACTGACACCACAGAGACCATACAGGACTAGACGACACCAATCTGTCCGAACACCGACAACTGACACCACAGAGACCATACAAGACTAGACAACACCAGACTTGGAGTAAACCAGGAGGTAGACTAGTTTATTTGAACACAGATACAAGATATATACACTCAGGGGACAATCCCCCCTCCCTGCATAATGACACAGGGCGGGACAATCCCCCCCTCCCTGCATAATGACACAGGGCGGGGCAATCCCCCCCTCCCTGCATAATGACACAGGGCTGGATAATCCCCCCTCCCTGCATAATGACACAGGGCGGGGCAATCCCCCCTCCCTGCATAATGACACAGGGCGGGGCAATCCCCCCTCCCTGCATAATGACACAGGGCGGGACAATCCCCCCTCCCTGCATAATGACACAGGGCGGGGCAATCCCCCCTCCCTGCATAATGACACAGGGCGGGGCAATCCCCCCTCCCTGCATAATGACACAGGGCGGGGCAATCCCCCCTCCCTGCATAATGACACAGGGCAGGGCAATCCCCCTCCCTGCATAATGACACAGGGCGGGGCAATCCCCCCTCCCTGCATAATGACACAGGGGGGCAATCCCCCCTCCCTGCATAATGACACAAGGCGGGACAATTCCCCCTCCCTGCATAATGACACAGGGCGGGGCAATCTACCTTTTAGTAGCAAGAGACACACCAACAGACAGTCCCATCAGGGGGAAGGGCTGCTGGAGACACCCCCCCCCCCCCCACACCAAGCCAATACACATAAACACATACATTCCATAATAGTTTTCTCCCAAGCAAGACACACAATAGAACAATAGGGATGCAGCCACACATGACACCAAACAATCCACAACCCCCCCCCCCACCTATCTCCTAGACAAAGCCCCCCCAATATGAGGACAGATTACACTGTACCCCTAACAGGCACAGGGGGACTTACACATAATAGGGATATGGGGAGCTGAGACAGGGGTCTCCCCACCTCTCCAAAGGGAGCTGTGTTCCATGGGCCCCCCACCCAAAGTGAGCTGTGTTCCATGGGCCCCCCACCCAAAGTGAGCTGTGTTCCATGGGCCCCCCACCCAAAGTGAGCTGTGTTTCATGGGCCCCCCACCCAAAGTAAGCTGTGTTCCATGGGCCCCCCACCCAAAGTGAGCTGTGTTTCATGGGCCCCCCACCCAAAGTAAGCTGTGTTTCATGGGCCCCCCACCCCAAAGTAAGCTGTGTTCAATGGGCCCCCCCCAAAGTCACTCCCATCACATTTACCTAGATCAGCTAATCCCGTATAGGTTGCAAGCCGATGATCCCTGCAAGATGGATTGGATCTGCAGATTGGGGATCCATTATGCTCAATCCACAGATCCAATCCATCCTGCAGGGATCGTCGGCTTGCTTTAAAATTTTCCTTTTCGTGGAGCTCGTGGAGAGGGTCCGGTGTCACTCCATGTGATAGGTGTCACCTGGTGCGGCCCACACCCGCCTAGGGATGCCACTGCGTTGGAGCCCAAAGTTTCTGCATTGGAGTTGCTCAGGTCTGAGCAGGGACAGACTGACAACTCATGGGGCCCCCGGGCAATAGGGGATCATGGGGCCCCCACACTCAAAGCACACCCAAAAAAGCCTATGAAAGGTACTAGGGGCATCTCATGGGGTCAGTGCAGCGTGCCCAAGTTCCCAAATGGTCAGTCCGCCCCTGGGTCTGAGGATCCCACTGTAGGGCAGTAGTGACGGGCCGAACACCCCTGTGAACCTAATGAATGTTTGACCACGAACTTCCAACTCAATGCAGTCTATGGGATTCTAACTTGTAAATGCAAAAGTGCCCATTTAAAAGGCTTACATGCGAGTGATTGGCCATAAAAAGGGGGTATGGGGACCCGGGCACTGCCCTGAGGGACAGGAGTCAGAGAAAAAAATGTTTTCTAAAAGTACGGCAGTCATTCTTCAATGTTTAAAGTAAAAAAAAAAAAAAAAATTCTTTAATCGCTTGCCAACCGCGCCACAGCCGAATGATGTTTACAGCGCGGTTATCCAGTTCTGGGAGGGCGTCATATGACGTCATCCCAGAGCACGCCCTCCCGCAAGCCCCTGGGGGCACGCACCCAGCGATCTGGTAGTGCGGCAATCTGGTAAAAGGCCAATCACAGCAGCCTTTTACCACATGATCCGCTGTGTCCAATGACAGCAGATCAACCGGTGAATGCAGTTGCCGGTTATTGGCTGCACTTTCCTCACACTGTCCCAGCATGAAGAATGTACTGCCAATAAAAGGCAATTGTCAGAGGAGGGATTGGCACAGTGCCCAGCAGTGCCCCCCACCTGTGCCCATCAGTGCCACCCATCAGTGCCCCCTATCAGTGCCCCCCACCTGTGCCCATCAGTGCCACCCATCAGTGCCCCCTATCAGTGCCCCCCACCTGTGCCCATCAGTGCCACCCATCAGTGCCCCCTATCAGTGCCACCCACCTGTGCCCATCAGTGTATCATATCAGTGCAGCCTCATCAACGCACATCAGTGAAGGAAAAAACTTACCTGTTTGCAAAATTTTATAATAGAAGCAAAAACTTTTTTTTTCAAATTTTTTGCTCTTTCTTCCCACTGACCACCAATGTAAGGGACATTCTTCCCACCGACCCCCAATGTAAGGGAGATTCTTCCCACTGACCCCCCCAATGTAAGGTACATTCTTCCCACCGACCCCCAATGTAAGGGACATTCTTCCCACTGACCCCCAATGTAAGGGACATTCTTCCCACTGACCTCCAATGTAAGGGACATTCTTCCCACTGACCACCAATGTAAGGGACATTCTTCCCACTGACCCCCAATGTAAGGGACATTCTTCCCACTGACCACCAATGTAAGGGACATTCTTCCCACTGACCCCCAATGTAAGGGACATTCTTCCCACTGACCACCAATGTAAGGGACATTCTTCCCACTGACCCCCAATGTAAGGGAGATTCTTCCCACTGACCACCAATGTAAGGGACATTCTTCCCACCGACCCCCAATGTAAGGGACATTCTTCCCACTGACCACCAATGTAAGGGACATTCTTCCCACCGACCCCCAATGTAAGGGACATTCTTCCCACTGACCCCCAATGTAAGGGACATTCTTCCCACTGACCCCCCAATGTAAGGGACATTCTTCCCACTGACCACCAATGTAAGGGACATTCTTCCCACTGACCCCCAATGTAAGGGAGATTCTTCCCACTGACCCCCCAATGTAAGGGACATTCTTCCCACTGACCCCCAATGTAAGGGACATTCTTCCCACTGACCACCAATGTAAGGGACATTCTTCCCACTGACCCCCCAATGTAAGGGACATTCTTCCCACTGACCCCCAATGTAAGGGACATTCTTCCCACTGACCCCCAATGTAAGGGACATTCTTCCCACTGACCCCCAATGTAATGGACATTCTTCCCACTGACCTCCAATGTAAGGGACATTCTTCCCACTGACCCCCAATGTAAGGGAGATTCTTCCCACTGACCCCCAATGTAAGGGACATTCTTCCCACTGACCCCCAATGTAAGGGACATTCTTCCCACTGACCCCCAATGTAAGGGACATTCTTCCCTCTGACCCCCCAATGTAAGGGAGATTCTTCCCACTGACCCCCAATGTAAGGGACATTCTTCCCACTGACCCCCCAATGTAAGGGACATTCTTCCCACTGACCCCCCAATGTAAGGGACATTCTTCCCTCTGACCCCCCAATGTAAGGGAGATTCTTCCCACTGATCACCAATGTAAGGGACATTCTTCCCACTGACCCCCAATGTGAGGGACATTCTCCCCACTGACCCCCAATGTAAGGGACATTCTTCCCACTGACCCCCAATGTAAGGGACATTCTTCCCACTGACCCCCAATGTAAGGGGCATTCTTCCCACTGACCCCCAATGTAAGGGACATTCTTCCCACTGACCCCCAATGTAAGGGACATTCTTCCCACTGACCACCAATGTAAGGGACATTCTTCCCACTGACCCCCAATGTAAGGGAGATTCTTCCCACTGACCCCCAATGTAAGGGACATTCTTCCCTCTGACCCCCCAATGTAAGGGAGATTCTTCCCACTGATCACCAATGTAAGGGACATTCTTCCCACTGACCCCCAATGTAAGGGACATTCTTCCCACTGATCACCAATGTAAGGGTCATTCTTCCCACTGATCCCCAATGTGAGGGACATTCTCCCCACTGACCCCCAATGTAAGGGACATTCTTCCCACTGACCCCCAATGTAAGGGACATTCTTCCCACTGACCCCCAATGTAAGGGGCATTCTTCCCACTGACCCCCAATGTAAGGGACATTCTTCCCACTGACCCCCAATGTAAGGGACATTCTTCCCACTGACCCCCAATGTAAGGGACATTCTTCCCACTGACCCCCCAATGTAAGGGACGTTCTTCCCACTGATCACCAATGTAAGGGACATTCTTCCCACTGACCCCCAATGTAAGGGACATTCTTCCCACTGACCACCAATGTAAGGGACATTCTTCCCACTGACCCCCAATGTAAGGGACATTCTTCCCACTGATCCCCAATGTAAGGGACATTCTTCCCACTGACCCCCAATGTAAGGGACATTCTTCCCACTGACCCCCAATGTAAGGGACATTCTTCCCACTGACCCCCCAATGTAAGGGACATTCTTTCCACTGACCCCCAATGTAAGGGACATTCTTCCCACTGACCCCCAATGTAAGGGACATTCTTCCCACTGACCCCCAATGTAAGGGACATTCTTCCCACTGACCCCCAATGTAAGGGACATTCTTCCCACTGACCCCCAATGTAAGGGACATTCTTCCCACTGACCACCAATGAATTGGTTTTATCAGGGGTTCCCTGAGACCCGACATCTACTTGAAGGGTTCCTCTGGGGTACAAAGGTTGGGAGTAGAAGCAGCCCGGGAAGCAGATCACGTTCGGTAGATGAACATCAATACTTTCCCCACCTCTGGCTGGATGGCTGACATGATGAAGATTTGGTATCTTTTCTTTCAACAGCAAAAAAAAAAAAATTCCCAAACTTTGCACGTGAAATCTCCGCTTTGCCCTTCTGCTGATGACAATCGGCCCCGGAAAGGTCACGGCACAAACATTGGCGAATGCGTCCGTCGTCGTATCGGGATCAATAGCCACCTACACTCTGCATTACAAATACACTTTGCGGAAGAGCCGCGGTGTTGTTTTTACAGGAGCAGCAAATAAAATGCCGGCGCGCCTTAATGGAAGGCGAATTGATGATTCTAAATTGACGGCAGACGGACGCCATCGCTAAAATGCATTTAGAAAATTTATACTTTGACATAATTCCGCTTTTCATTCGCTCCACCGATCCCGCCCAACCGCTTCGCACAGCGGACATTTTTCTCTCTTTTTTTTTATTGCCACTTTTAAAGTTCTATTAAATCTTATTTAACAAGATTATTAAAGATCTGAATCTTTGTTTCGTTTTTGGTAAATTGTAGAAATGTGACAATTTATAATGTAAATAATATGATTAGTTAATATTATGTGATTACTTTTCGAATACATTTTTTTTTTACAGCTCAGGGTGACATTTTTAGCCAATAAAAACTAATTCTTTTGTTTCTTTGTTCAGCAGAATGGAACAATAATTGTGAGTATGCAGAGAAATCTTCTGTGCAGGAATGCCCCGTCCTCTTCCTGGCTCTGAACTTCCAATGCTGAAATGCTTCATAGCTTCAGGTCTTCAAGCAGATCAGCAGTACAGATAGTCCAATGGGAACACAGCCCCGCCTACCTCCTCCATCGAAAAAAGTTATTTCATTGGTTACACTGCCTGCACCATGACCTATGAAGGGGGAGGGATTACTGTGACTCAGACTCTCTCCATGTCACAAGCAATGTTCAGAGCCAGGAAGAGGACAGGGCATCCAGGGGTGAAGATTTTTCCAGGGTCCAGCTGCTTGCACAATGAGGTCAATAAAGCTGTAGAGAATTTAAAATTCAGCTTTAAAAATTTAATGAGCTTTTCATACAATATAACTTGTAATTAATGTTTTTGCAGCAGATGACACCATGGGTGTCAGAGTGTCCATGTTCTGGGACCCCCTTGTGTCAGAGTGTCCATGTTCTGGGACTCCCTTGTATCAGAGTGTCCATGTTCTGGGACTCCCTTGTGTCAGAGTGTCCATGTTCTGAGACCCCTTGTGTCAGAGTGTCCATGTTCTGGGACCCCCTTGTGTCAGTGTGTCCATGTTCTGAGACCCCCTTGTGTCAGAGTGTCCATGTTCTGGGACCCCCTTGTGTCAGAGTGTCCATGTTCTGGGACTCCCTTGTGTCAGAGTGTCCATGTTCTGGGACTCCCTTGTGTCAGAGTGTCCATGTTCTGAGACCCCTTGTGTCAGTGTGTCCATGTTCTGGGACCCCCAAGTGTCAGAGTGTCCATGTTCTGAGACCCCTTGTGTCAGAGTGTCCATGTTCTGGGACCCCCCAAGTGTCAGAGTGTCCATGTTCTGGGACCCCCAAGTGTCAGTATGTCATTGTTATAGAACCCCAAGTGTCGGTGTCATTGTTATAGAACCCCAAGTGTCAGTGTGTCATTGTTTTGGGACCCCCAAGTGTCAAGGTGTCATCGTCCTAGAACCCCAAGTGTCGGTGTCATTGTTCTAGAACCCCAAGTGTCAGTGTGTCATTGTTCTGGGACCCCCCAAGTGTCAGGGTGTCATTGTCATAGAACCCCAAGTGCCGGTGGTCATTGTTCTAGAACCCTGAGTGTCGGTGTCATTGTTCTGGGATCCCCAAGTGTCAGTGTGCGATTGTCACAGAACCCCAAGTGTCGATGCCATTGTTCTAGAACCCCAAGTGTCAGTGTGTCATTGTTCTGGGACCCCAAGTGTCAGTGTCATTGTTCTGGGACCCCCAAGTGTCAGTGTGTCATTGTTCTGGGACCCCAAGTGTCAGTGTGTCATTGTCCTAGAACCCCAAGTCTCAGTGTGTCATTGTTTTGGGACCCCCAAGTGTTAAGGTTCCATTGTCCTAGAACCCCAAGTCTCAGGGTGTCATTGTCCTACAACCCCAAGTGTTAGTGTGTCATTGTTCTGGGACCCCCGAGGTGTAATTTTCCTAGAACCCCAAGAGTCAGTGTGTCATTGTTCTGGGACCTCAAGTTTTAGTGTGTCATTGTTCTGGGACCCCCAAGTGTCAGTGTGTCATTGTTCTGGGACCCCAAGTGTCAGTGTGTCATTGTCCTAGAACCCCAAGTGTCAGTGTGTCATTGTTTTGGGACCCCCAAGTGTTAAGGTTCCATTGTCCTAGAACCCCAAGTCTCAGGGTGTCATTGTCCTACAACCCCAAGTGTTAGTGTGTTCATTGTTCTGGGACCCCCGAGGTGTCATTTTCCTAGAACCCCAAGTGTCAGTGTGTCATTGTTCTGGGACCTCAAGTTTTAGTGTGTCATTGCTCTGGGACCCCCCAAGTGTTAGCGTGTCATTGTTCTGGGACCCCAAGTGTCAGTGTGTCATTGTCCTAGAACCCAAAAGTGTTAGGGTGTCATTGCTCTGGTACTCTCAAGTGTCATTGTGTCATTGTTCTGGACCCCCAAGTGTCATTGTGTTTGTTCTGGACCCCCCAAGTGTCATTGTGTCATGTACCTGATGGGAGACTGAATTGATGAGGTCGGCCTCACTTGTGTCACTAGTCCTGACCCCACTGAGGTTGAAACAGAGGGAGTCTAGGACCCAGGGGAACAAGAGCGCCAGTGGTTGTTGTTTGCAGCTCTTGCACATGAATACCTTGGAAGGCTGAAGATCCTCTGATCTTGGCACAGGAGTAGCAGGCAGAGCAGGTCTTGTAGATTTCCAGGCGTGCAGCAGAGCAAGGCAAGTAGTGAAGACAAGAGACAGGAGCAGTGTCATGGAATAGCCGAGGTCATCAACAGTCAGGCAGCGCGGTACAGAATCAGAAGGAAAGCCAAGGTCAGGAGCAGAGCCGAAGTCAGGAACCAATATCAATCAGGAGAGCAATCAGAGTCAGGTGAGGAACAAGCCGGGTCAGTAACGGAGGAATCACACAGGAACAAGCAGGACACGGGGAAGCTGAGGACCAGTCAGCATTGAACATGAGCAGAGACACTCCTTCATAGGCCGTCTGGCGCCAATCTTCGCCATGCGTGTGCGCGATCACGCATTTCTGATCGCAGTTTGTCTTGCCAGAAATCCCTTACATTGTGTCATTGTTCTAGAACCCTGAGTGTCAGAAAGTCATGACTGAGGAACATGGAGAATATTGAGGCCAATACTTACCGCCTAATCCATAAACCTACCACCCCCCCTTCAACCTCCCCACCTAAATAAACCAGCGACTCTCCTTTTTGGTGTAAAACCGTCCATAGCAGCCATTTATGTAACATAAGACTTCTTCCAGTACATCAAATAATGACAGTAATGATCCCAACGGGTCCAAGGTCTTCGAAGGCACCGCTACTCACATCACAAACTCGGCTGTATCTGACACCCAATGAGAAGGCCCCCAGCCGCTACCACACCGCCTCGGGGACAATACTACAGTTACATAGTCCCAGATGCAGCCAATGACCTCCCACCTTACCAACCTGACCTTATAATTAGGAAGGGACACCCCAACCTACGATGGGCCCAACCCACAATCCACCAAATTGTCACTCCAGCACCACCTTCAAAGACCCAACGACCCCCGCCGGCTGCCATGACAACACAAACACCACAGGACACAAAATGCTGCTCAGGACAAGAAACAAAATCAAGGAACCCCCACAAAACAAACACCAAGAACAAACCAGAACCCAAACAGCAAAACAACGAAACAGCTCCAGGGAGGAAGGGTGGGATAAACCACCCCCCAGACAATCAATCCCCCCCCCAGACCCCGCCCCCTCCGACACCCGCACAAGCTCCGACTGACCTCCAACAAGACCCAACCCCCTCCTAATCCTGCAAGACCACCACCCAAGCTTGCGTACTCCAATCAGATGAGTAACCCCCCCCCCCCCACCTCCTGCATATACTCCCACCCAAATCCACGCTCCGCCTCCTCTGCACGCCCCAGTCATGCTGCTCCTCCCTTTTAGCTTCGTTCAGTCCAGGTCCTGACTTTACTCGGGGGGGGGGGGTGTAAGGAGTCATTCTTGTCTCCTAAAAGTAGACGTAACAACTGTACGGCGTATTTTACAACGCAGAAGAACGGAACCCCCACAATGCACTTGTCTTTCAGATGTAGTACTGGACTGAGCTCCATGAATCCAGCCAAGTGCTGAGGAGAACCACCAGGACATTTTGTTCTCTCCTTCCTGCTTGAGTGGCAGCCAGAAGAGGAAGAACTGAGCACTGATTGGCTGTTAGGGCAGGCAAGGGGCAGGACCAATGCCGGGA